TCTAGTTTCATACCGTTGTGGTCAGAAAAGATGCTTGGTATTATTTCAATCTTCTTAAATTTATGGAGACTTGTTTTGTGGCCTAATATGTGATCAATCTTGGAGAATGTTCCATGTGCATTTGAAAAGAACGTGCATTCTCTCTTGACACAGATACTCAGAATCTACTTCCATTGCTCGTACCACCCCTGAATATTTTTCTATACCATAAACTCAACAAATGTTCACTGAGCACGTAACATGTGGCAAGCACTGGACAAACCATGATGTTGGAGAACATAGACCCCGCTCTGCTGTGGGTACGGATGGTGCTTTGCATGTTCCGTTCACAGCTGCACAGGGCGTGCCTCATCTCTTCATCTCACAGCTGCTGAGATACTGGAACAGCCAAAACGGAGCCATGCACTTCCTAGAACAGTCTTACGCCAACAAATTCTCCCCACCTCTTACCCACCACCTCACCCTAGCTCCTGGTACAATAATTTTTAACCCAAATAGCTATTTTTGGTTAAGTTTTCTGCCCACTAACTAGCCTGTGAATCCTAACACTACACCAAACGCCTGGAGAGCCATTTTCTCATCTGTACCCTCAGAATCATCTCCCACCATTATCTGAATAATGATTGAAAACCAGATTCTCCAGAAAGTATTACTCAGAAAATAAATTTTTAAAATAAAATAAATAGCATTCAAATAGCATTTAAGAGTTTAAAACCACTTACTTCTACAGATATTATTTTGGTTAATATTCACAACAATATTTGAGTCTCATGGGGTAAATACTCGACCGCAGGTCATGTAGTCAGTAAAGTGGCAGAGCTGGCGGTTCTGCCCAGGTCTTCTGAGTCAGAAATCCCAGAGCCGGTCCAGAGGGGGCCAAATGGAACCCCATTTGGTGCAGGCCTCACCTTCACAGAAAGCTACAAATTTAGTCTTTAAGCATCAGCTCTAATAATGCTGTACATAGAGTTAAAGAGAGATGTCATCAGGATTAAAATAAAATGTTCATTACACAGTTCTAAATTTGTGTTTTACTTTTTTTGTGTGTGTGAGGAAGATCAGCCCTGTGTTAACATCTGCCAATCCTCTTGTTTTTTTGCTGAGGAAGACTGGCCCTGGGCTAACATCCGTGCCCATCTTCCTCCACTTTATTTGGGACGCTGCCACAGCATGGCTTTCCAAGCGGTGCGTCGGCGAGTGCCCGGGATACGAACCGGCAAACCCCCGGCCGCCACAGTGGAGCGCGCGCACTTAACCGCTTGCGGCCCCTGTGTTTCACTTTTGAAACATTATTTTGGCATTTTGATTTTTCAGTATACTGAGAACCTCAAACGCTGGAAGTTGTCCAGCCCCTCTTAAACTCTTAGGGCCTTGACAAACCTCTTCATTTTTTTACATGACATCTCTAAAAATGTTGCTTACTTGCTATCACTTTTCCATCTGAAAATAAAATTGGCTGGATTTTCTTTGATTCACACTCTAGTTGAACGTGTATCTTGTGCTCCTCACCTCCCTAAAAAAGCATTTTTCACTGACCTATGCCCACCATAAAACCTCAGGAGACTGCGTGTCCTCACATGCCACGCCTGAGAGGGTCTGCAGCTCGCCAGCAGGCACGAGGTCTGCGAGCTTTTCTCTCTGGAGAACCCAGCTCATCACATGCCTGATTCTGCCCTGGTCAATTATCTTCTGGTGGAAATAATGGTGGTGGATTCCTATAGCAAAGGGAGCCTTTGGATTATTTAAAATCGTTGTATCTCTAGGCCTCAATTTCTTCATCCATAAAATGAAGGAAATAACACTCCGTAATGAAAATTAATGGAAGATCATTGAGGGCTTTCCAGAGTTATAGATAAGCTTACAAGATGTTACAGAGAATGCCAGGATCTGAGCTTTAATATCTTCCCTGGTCCTTAACTGAGCACAACAACTGTTCATCTGAAAGGAGTCGTCAAGTTTTCCGTTTGCAGTTGGAATGACAGACCCTCTGAAGCATCTTTTCTGTCACTCTGCTCACATCATAACTAGGCCATGTCCACGAGCATCTCCCACTTTGTCACTACTTTGGTGGCAAATGAGTTAAAGGCAGAGGCAACCAGATTCCTGGTCCCCTGTGGGCTGCCTCCTCCCTCTGTCCCCACACACTCAGGGCATCACGGGAATGACAGAGTGGTGTAGTCCAATGGGGCCATCTCCATGATCTTCCTGTGTCCTGAGTGCTGGGGGTGACTGCGGGTCTTCACATGCCAACTAATGTTAACTGCTTTCCGTATTTTCCCTTTCCCTATTTATTACAGCTTTTCAGAAAGTTGATGAGGTGAAATATTCTCCAGCACAGGAAATAAAATAAAGCTTAAAAGTTGTTTCTGATGGAATGGTGAAATAATTCCACTACTTTTCTTTGAGTAAAAAAAAAAAAATAATAAGGCAACCTGAGGCAGCCTCTGGGGATTTCATTATTGATAGACTGGAGGGAAACAGAATGGCTTTAGATGAACAGGTTTTTCTTTTCACTTGTTAGAATGCTTTGGGATGAAGACATGAGAAAGACAGAAGCTAGACTATAGAATATACGAGGCACTGCTTATTTACATAATTTTGTGTAGAGATGCATTGATGTATGAAGTATAAAGTGACCGTGTTGAATAGTGAAAATAAAGTATTTTGGAAGACAATCTGTGTTCACTACCCTGCCCTAAAATGACAACATTTCATGAAATACTTCTTGCTTCTCTGTGAAAATTACCAGTGGTTTAAGCTGTGTGTGCAGGTTTAAGAAAATACAACCTTTTATGCTATTGTTTAAGATAACTCTTAAGAATGCATCCTCTAAGCAGATGAGACACCGAGTGGGGGAGGGGAGGGGAGGAGGCACACTGACACCTCACTCTGATGTTGGCGGGTCTATTCGCTGTTTCTTCGTGATTAAAGGCTACCACGAGGGCTGGAAACGTGTGTGGAGCAAGGATTATAAACAGCTATTTTTGCAGGCCAAATTGCTTCCTAAATGAAGGAGTAGGGGATTTAAAGGTGAACGTAACTGTTTCTTTCGCTGCCTGCAAAGGTTTGTGCTGTGTGAGAAACTAAATCCTAACTCCCTTTTGGCAAGTATTCCTTAACAGGCCTCCCAGATATCTGAAACCGATTTTAACCCATTCGGGTCCTCCACTGACTACCACGTTACCTGAATGGTGCGGTCCACTCTCCAGGCTACTCACTAGCCCGCAGGCCTATGGGGTGAGTACACGTCTTGGAGGAACAGGCTTGTGAGCATTGATGGGCCAGGGAACCTGGGGGCTATTACCCTCCACTGGAGGAGGAAGCCTTTTTAAAATTCACTGCACCAAGAAGCATTTCTCTTCTCTTTCCAGTTGTTGCTGATGTGGGCACATTCTTCTTTTAAAAATGCAATTTTTTATTGTTACCAATATGTTTAACCATAAAATGAATTTAAGAAATGTAAAAGAAGCAATATGTCCTCACAGAGTGCTGTGTTTGGAGGTTTTGAATATTAGACCTGTGCTGTATAGCTCAAGGGAGTGGAATAAAAAAGGCTGAGGAGCAATTAGATTCATTAGCAGCAAATCAGAGTGTCAGGGATTGGAGAAGAGCAGAATCTTGGAGTTTGAGGTGCCCTTGGAGGTTGTCCAGCTGGCCACCCACTTGTGTAAACAGAGAAAACCGCATCTCAGATACACGCAGGGCACAACAGCCGAAGGCGGTGGTTCTCAAAGCGTGATCCCCAGACCAGCAGCCTCAGCATCACTGGGGAGCTTGTCAGAAATGCAAATTATCAGGCCCCACCTGAGAACTCGGAGCTTGGGGACAGCATCTGTGCTTTAAGGAGCCCTCCAAGTGATTCTGGAACAGGCTGAGATTAGAAACCACTGACCTGCCGTCACCTGGCCAGGGCTCATTCTACAGGTAATTTTGTGTGGGCTTCCCAAAGCCAGTGGAAGGGGAGTTGAGACCTTAATTCTTTCTTTCAAGAGAAGCTCTGTCTGAGGAAAACTATATTGGCCAAATCTATAGTTTCTGCCATTATCCACTATAGGGACTTCCAACCATTTTTAGCCTTGGGACACTCATCCCAAGAAACATGCTTTGAGGACACACTTTCAAAATAAAATATAACAGAAACTGTGTTTTGAGAATTTTGTAATAGGCAGGAGTGTTACAAAACCAACACTGAGAATCATTCCATAGTCTGAGGCCACGGGATTCTGGTACCTCCTGACTCCTCTCAACCCGCTTGGGTACCAATTCTCGAAATCCACAGCATTTCGTTGTAACTCCCTTAACCCAAGGAGGCACTCAATTAGCACGTGCTCCCTATTGACTCTTACCTTAGGCCTAGAGACCCCTTCTGGCTATGTTATGGTGTCAAGTCCAGGGAAATGCTTCACCACGCCCACGGAGGTGGAAAATGTGATATCTGCTGTAGCAGAAACTTCAGCCAGGGCAAGACAGGGCAGTTAAAAAAAGGAAAACAAACACCCTATTTTCTTACACAGTAGGACTGCTATTGTTTCCTGCCTTCGTCATGAAGTGACCTCTCTCTCTTTCTAAAATCCAGGAACAGCTAAAAGAGGATGATGTGGAATGCATTGTAAATCAAGACGAACTGGCCATGAATTACCAGGAGCAAGCCGCCTCTCCCTGCAGTCCTCCTGCAAGGCTGGGTCTGGACCAGAAAGCGTCACCTCAGACGCCAAGCAAGGAAAACATCTATGAGGGGGACCTCGGCTTGGGAGGCTATGAACTCAAGCTTGAGCAAACTCAGGGTCAATCCCAGCTGAATTAATGGGCTTGAGCAGTGCAGGTATAATCACAAGTAATGCAAGGCTCACCGAGGAATACAGGCTGAGCTGATGAGGGGGTGTCGAGAAGAGGCTGGAAAATGTATTAAAAGCAGAAATCGGAGAGAATCAAAACCCTGTCACATGTATCCTCTGGTGCCTGAAGAAATGAGAATTTATTGTCATCCCTCGATATTATGCAAGTGAATTTAAGTTTTTGACAGCAGCCATTTTTATTAATGATTGGGGGGAGGGGAGCATAGAGTGGGAGGAGTCAGGAGGTGTCAGTGAGGATGAGACTGATGGGCTCGTGTCTGCAGGGTGTTTCTTCTCTGTATGCAGCTCTCCAGGCCCTTCACTTCGATTCTGGATTTTATTCCCTTCATTAGGGAGAGTTTAGAAATAAGAAAAAGAGTTTCTGAGCGTAAACTTCTGGCTTCTAAGCTGAAGAGAATTGCCTTTATTTAGTAAGTGATAAGTTTTACATTTTTAGGACCTAGACTCCCACTTGCTCTGAATGACCCCAGGGCCATCTGCAGAGTCCAGGGAAGTGCTCGACACCACTGTTGATGGCCTCACAGAACCCATGCTGCCTGGGGACCCACTGTTCTCGCCGGCGTCCTTTGCAAGCTGCTTGTCCTATTGAATGAAGGGGTTGGTTACAGCCGGGTGTACCCTGCACGAAATCAGTCCTGCTCTCCACCCTGCTTTGGACCCTTCCAGGGAAAGCTGGTTTCTTTTCCCCACGCCGTGTTCTACCAGAAGAATGAGCCTTCCTCTCCTTGCTTCCATTTGAGTCACTTCTTGGCTCCGCACTGGGTCCCCCTGGGTGCTGGGTAATGCGATTCCGCAGCATACGTTGCTCTCCACGTGGCAGGAGACGGTGCAGGAGCCCAGACTTGTCCTCCAATTCCAACACTCGCAGCTGATTAGCAGGGGCAGGAGGGAGGGGAGCAGAGCTGACGAAGCATAGACCACATGGAGGACAGAGCATCAGGACTCCCCTTACAAGGTGTGGCTCATGGCCTGCGGTGGAGAGACCAACACAATAGCTTTTAATTCAGCTGCATGACCTGTGCCTTTTAAGCCATAATGATACCTCAAGCCTAGCTTCTCTTGAAATACAGATGTTAACGTTAGACTCCAAAAAGCAGGCTCCAGGCTTGCGCCCAGGCTATGATGAGTCTGCTTCTGAGGGAGGTAGGGAAGACATCTTCCTTGGGCTCAAAGCTTGGAAGTCACCTATGCTTTGCTGACCAGTGTTAGGCCTTAGTCCTTAGCTGTCGTGGTGTCAGGCTCACTGCTATGCACACTGATGATCTTGCTTTCAGAACAGCAGAATCCAGGGGCACGATTTGTTTTATACTCAGCTAAGTATCATCTGGTCATTCCAGAGAAATAGGACAAATGGTGAAGCATGAAGTTTTCTAATTTGACTTAATCCTAATAAAATTTTGTTATAAAGTATGATTGCATCGGCCAATGCTTTATTTAAGGCATTTTCTCTGCCTGTGCTAATTGGCAGTTCTAAGCCCTTGTACTCGAAGTGCCAGGTGAGGCAGGCACAGAAAGGTTATTTAATGGAGATGCAAGGATTCTGGAGCCCAGGAACAGCCATAGGGGCCAGCACACCAAGTCGTTGAGGAATGAAGAGAGCAGCATTGGGCTGGGAGGCTGTGCCTCTCAGAGAAGGGAAAGCAACGTCAAGCTTCAAAAACAGGAGGAGGAGATACTAGAGGAGAAAGGAAAGGAAAGAAATGCAGAAGATAAGGATTCATCTTATTTCCGCCCCTCTCACGTGAAAGCAAGAGATGAGAACTGGTGTTTGTTTCTGTCCCTTTGTGTGGAGAAAGACACCAGGGAAGGAGAAGATTCCCCCCAAAATGACAAACATTAGTGGGGGCAGGAGTGGAGCGAAGGGAGAGAAATATGACATACCAGACAGAAATGGGGTGGAGGGCAGGCTCACAATCTAAACCCAGCACCAGCTTGCAAAGAGGGCAGAAAACAGCCTCCTGTCCCCTCTTCCTGCAAAGCCCTCTTCCTGCTTAGAAAAAAAGTCTCTTTCCAGCTGAACATCATGGACCACTACCAACAAGGAGAATGGGAGGCTGTTTAGTCTGGGCTGAGCCACTTATCCCGGCTGACTCCAGGGAGATACAATATTGTGAGTCTGAGGAAATTGTGCCCTACCCAACCTGTGCGACAGTGTCCCAGTCCTGATGTGTGAGTACCAGCCTCCTTCCCTCTGAATCAGCCCAAGACCCCCACAAAGGCTAGTGTCCCAGTTAGCAATTCATAAAACCAAATTCCCTTTATGCTCCTGTTGTGAACGATAATAATTTATGATCTTTAGAAATGCTCTGTGCTTTGATTAGCAGCATCGGCACTGTGAAATTCAACCTATTATTTACTGCCAGTTTCTAATAAATAATAAAGGCAAAAGAGCTTTATTCAAAGCACTAACACTTCCACTCATTATTAGAGTTTTAAACAGGACTCTAATTAATTAATTGACTTATGATTCTTCCTTGAGCTTCTTACCGTGTGTGCAGCACACACATTCATGCACGTGCACACACGCACAGTTCCACTCACTGTCAGGGTCCCAGCTAGAGCCTCTGCAGTGCTCCCCCTGGTACTCGGTGCATGTCTGAGCAAGTCTGAAGCCTGGTGGCAAGTGCCATCAGGGTCTTCATTCACGAAGTTTCTAAAACTTCTTGGAGGGCAATTTAACGATATAAATCCAAGCTGAAAATTCAAATACGCTTTGACCTACCAATTTCATGTGCAGAACTTTTATTCTAGATATTTGAGAATGTTATACATATAAACAGTATTTATTAAAACAACTAAATTGACATCCTGGTTAAATAAAACACAGTGCAGCCATCTCATGAAACAGCATCATATGTACTGATATGGCATGAACTCCAAGATATATTGTCAGAAAAAAAAGCAAGATACAGAACAGAATGGATGCTGTGCTGCCATTCTGGAAGGTTAAAGAAGAAATTGGTGGTATGATTGCCTCTTAAGAGCTGAAGGGAAGACTTAACTTTTCACTTTTGTACCTTTTGGGTTTTGTACACTGTAGATGCATTATTTATTCAAAAACAAATTAAATAATAATAAAATTCCTATGAAATAACTCATTGAAGTATTGAGTATAATAGGAAGTGGAGTATAAACTGGGAAAGTTATTTTTCACCATGGTCTTTGAGACCTTGAGAATACAAAGTGAAGCACCAGTCACCTCTGGATTTATTTATTGGCATCATTTGCACACACATGGATGCAAACTATGTAAAAGGTCTTTAAAATTCAAAGACAAGTAGGACTCAGTCCTATCTATCAAATATCTAGTAGGAGAAGACAGACAACTAAAAAATATTGATTCCTTATAAGATACCAAAACATATGATAAAGCTATAGTAACTAAAACAGTGTGGTATTGACCCAGAAATAAGCAAAGAGATCAAGAAAATCTACTACAAAGTACAGAAACAGACTCATGAATATATTTAGAAATGTAGTTCATAAAAAATGGCATTCCAATTTGGGGGTAGGGATGAATGGACTGTTATTCAATAAATAGTGCGGACCAAGTGACTTTCAATTTGGAAAAAGAAAATTAAATAATACCCTCTAACATACATAAAACTAAATTCCAAGTAATTTAAACAGCTAAATGTAAAAAACAAAACTATAGGATAACAAAAAAGTAAAACAGAATACGTAAATAACCTTGGCATATGGACAGTCTTCCAGAAAGACACAAACCAAAAACAAAAATGATCAATTTGACTACATAAAAATATGAAATTTCTTATGACAAAAAGCACAATAAGGAAATTTTAAAACAAACTAGGAGAAAAAAATGTATATATACTTTTTTTGTATGTATGTATATGTGTATCAGACTAAGGATTATTCTTCAAAATATACAAAGAACTCTTACCAATGCATGAAAAAGAATAAAAAACCTACTGAACACAAAAATAGGTCAAGAATATGTGGAATCAAATAGGTATACCTTCTATCCAAACTTTTACTTTTAGGCATCTCTGTAGAAAAGAAATACTTGGCACTTATGCATAAGGAGGCATACAAAATGATGTTCACTCTGGCACTGTTATGGAAAAATATTAAGGGAAAAATATCCACCAATAGCAGAAGAGTTAACTAAACTAAACACACCCATGCCAGGGAATTTTCTGTAGCAATTATACTCTGTGTAGAGATGGGTCTATATGCATGCACTAGCGTGGAAATATTTTCAAGATAAATTGTTAATGAAAAAACAGTCTGGAATGATCCACAGCAGACAGATCGCCAAAAGGGGAGTGGGATTAGGAGGGCTGGATCAAAAGAGCCTTTTGGTTTATCCACATTATTTTTAATTTTTACAGTGATACCACATTCCTGTGTGGTGGATTCTGAGAGTGGCTCTGGCTTCTACATGGGGGAGGGTGAAGAAGGCATGGTCAGGAAAGGCTTCTAGGGAGAAGTTACATTTGAATGTGGTCTTAACAGATGAGAGGGTTGGACCAAGCAGACACGATTGGTGCTGGCCTGGGGGACAGGAGGAAAGGTGAATCCCTAGAATACAAGAAAAGCCAATGGGAGGCAACAGCATGGGCAGAGACCAAGTGGTGTGAAGGAACCTGGCGCTTTAGATGAACTATGAGTTATTCCACATGGCTATTGTATAGGTTATGTGTTTCAGGAGGGAAAAATGGAAGAAGGAGAGATAATGCTGGAGGTGTTGATCAGACTAAAGAGTCTGCGCTATGATCCTGTGAGAATGGGAAGCTATTGACATGTTTTAAACAGGGAAGAAAATTACCAGGATTGTGGCGAGATGCAGTGCAAGAAAGATCGGAGGCGGTGCACTAGCCCAGGAGAGAGATGATGAGAGACTTAACTAAGGCAGAATCAGGGAGGATGGAGAGGAGCACAGGTTCTAGGTAAGTTTCAGAGCTGGAATCTACAAAGTTGGCAACTGATTGGATATGGAAGGTGAGGAGGCTGGAGGAGCCCAGAATGACCCCAAGTGTAAGGCTTAGATGACAATAGGTGGATGGTTCCATTCACTGAGGGTATTGCCAAGAGGAGCAGGTTTGAGGAAATGCCAACAAATTCAGCTCTGGACATGTTGAGCCTGAGGTTCCACTGGAGAGCCGCAGGGAGATGTCTCGGTGTTGTTTAAATGGATCTGAAGTTTCGGGAAAAGGTCTAGGCT